AAGCATGCGACGTGGTCGATACAGTTGAAGTGTCTTATGCAACGCTTGATGTATGGGCGTCGAGGGTTCGTTGCCGGATGCGGAGTGATTGTATTGTCACATGGTAGTGTGACTCGTTGTCTAGGGGAAGACGACACATGAAGGGGAACCTCTCGCGGAGTTGTGAGAGTCATAAGTATCATGAAGTGGGAGAAGGCTGACTGGGATCTGAAGGGATCCTAGGCCGCACGGGTGTGCTTTGAGTGGCGAAATTTGTGTTTGGCTTCCGCCGCGCCGCGCCGCTCGCTCATCCCGTGACACTGGACTTACCAAACATGGGAAAGCAATTGATTTCCCATCCCCAAATCTCCTTTCCCATGAACTAAACGGGGCCAAAGGGCTTCACACATAGGCCCTGTTTGGTTCATTGAATGAAATTGAGGGGAAATCATTTCTCATGTCATTCCCCAAGGAATGGGAATTGAAGAATCATTTCCCACGTTTGGTAATGTTGGGAAATTAACCAGGAAATATCATTTTATTTCCTTTCCCATGTTTGTTTTGAGTAGGAATGGAAAACAAAGTTTGTATAAATTTTCAATTATACCCATATTAAATCAAATAAAAAAACGCATTTAATGATATATTGTAATTCTAAATTGTTAATGGGGATAAAATGGTCATAAAAAATATGTATTTAATGTTAGCTCATTTTCCCAAACTTTCCCATGAGGAGGGAAAACAAAACCCAAGTTGGGCGGATGGCTTCACTTTCTCTCGGGGCCTAAGAGGGTTTTTTTTGGGAAAAGAGGGGCTAAGGTTTAGAAATTTCTAGCTTACAAACAATATTTCTCGTAAATGCTCTAGGTATGAATCGAATCTTATTAAGTACCTGAAAAGCAAATGATATGACCAAAACCAAGACAAAAACAGTGAAAATATATATGTAATCTCCATATCCAAAGAGAAATGGGATTTCTCATTGCAGAAACTACATCTTATTCCTTATGATGCTCTACTTGGTATATATGCTTCAATGTGACATTGACATGCAAGCACATACAGCAGTGCACTGCCTTGCACAAATATGAAAGTTGTTGGGATATGACATCTTCTAATTGGATTGCTCTACCACTCAACACTGTCACGTGACAAGAACATCCTCGCATAAATTTTCTCGTGCCAAATGTCACATAACTGAGTAGTTTATAATTAATTAAACGGATTAAGTTAAGATTGATTCATCCTTAACACGAATTTGACACGGGCATAATATAGCCCGATCATTATCCCTACGTTTATCTCCTTTGGTTAATTTGCTCAACCAAGTTTGGTGCACAAAGGCAGCGTTGTTCAACATCATTTGAGCAAATGACCGTTATTCAAACTGTCGTTTAACGTAAATTTCGTTTTCTAACCATTCATCTCTATAACCGAAACCCTTATTTTTAGCCAAGAAGGAAAAAGTCATAATTAAGCACCATTTGCTATCTATATCCTTTGCTTCATTTGCAAACCCTTTTAAAATCTCCACATACAATAAGCCAAATCCGAAGTGTGTGTGTGTGTGTGTGTGTGTGAGTGAGAGACAGAGCTAAGACTTTTGTACGTGACTACTTTTTCATAGCATCAATCATTCTTTCCCATGAGCCAGGCAACGATTTCCCACATCTAAACTTACCAAACATGGAAAAGCAATTGATTTCCCATTCCCAAGTCTCCTTTCCCATGAACCAAACGGGGCCAGAGGGGAGTGGTTTCCAACAATGGGGATTCCAAGCCAACCCTAGTGATCCGACCATGTTTCCATCAACTTTATATTCTTAAGGTCCCTATCTAGCCTCTCTTGGAGGTCCATTTCTCCATTATACATGCTAACCTACGTAAACTCATTCCCTTTAAACCCAATATCCAAGAGCTGGTGTTGTTATATCAATAAAATCCTTGAGAAAATCTAACTCTACTATTGCACCATGGAGCACCACCATTTTTCTTATGTTGCCATACTAACTCGTTAAAGTCCCCTAAGAACACCATAGAGGGATTTTGAGAGCGAATCAACTCTCTCAAAGATTGGACTATCAGAGCAGTCCCTAGACTCTCACAGTTCCATGTAAGTCTTTAAAAAACTTTGCTAAAAGTCTTTTACATGCCATAATTGGACTACTTTTCAAAATATTCCTAATTTTCATTTTAGTATTTTGATTTACAATCTTATTATTTTAACCTACAAATCGGAGAAGATAATTGGAACTCCCAAGAACATAAATATGTTTTGCATTTGACCCAAAAAAAAAAAAAAAAAAAAAAGTGTTGCATGTTTTGTACTCGTGATATACCAATGGTTCTAATATCTACATAGGATGGTTGCACATCAACATTAATTTAGTGCATGTTGTCTAGTTGTATGAGAGGAGAGGAGCACTTTGGGCCAAGGATAATAAACGGGAAATATTAAGACCCTTTTTATTTGTTTATCCATATATATAAAGTGAAAAATAGAGA